CACACACACACACACACACACACACACACACACACACACACACACACACACACTCTGAGGCAGGCACACAAAGACACAGGAACCAAGCTCAAGTTTCAGGGAGGCAGATTTTTTTTTTTTAATCGGAGTCTCTGTTGCCCACATTGGAGTGCAGTGGCACACTCACAGCCACCACAGCCTTGACCTGCTGGGTTCAGGTGATCCTTCCACCTCGGTCTTCCAAGTAGCTGGAATTGTAAGCATGTGCCACCACACCCTGCTAATTTTTTATTTATTATAGAAATGAGGTCCCACCATGTTGCTCAGGCTGGTCTCAAACCCCTGAGCTCAGGTAATCTTCTTGCCTCCACCTCCCAAAGTGCTGGGATTACAGGTGTGAGTCACTGCACCAGGCTAGGGAGACAGATTTTAACCCAAACCAGTCAGAATTTTAAGGACCAAAGTGGGCTATGGAGAGGGTTCAGCACAAAAAGAAAGGACAGAGTTGAGACTACCCTCCCATGGGGCAATTTCCTTTTCATTTGGATTGTATGAAGTGCAAGAAGATACCTTCCTAAAGGAGATGAAGAGTTTCAGTTTTTTTGTTTTTTTGGTTTTTTTTGAGTTGAAGTCTCACTCTGTCGCCCAGACTGGAGTGCAGTAGTCACTCCTGGCCACCGCAGCCTCGACCTGCTGGGCTCCGGCGATCCTTCCACCTCAGTCTTCCAAGTAACTGGAATTACAGGCATGTGCTACCACGCCCGGCTGATTTTTTGATTTATTGTAGAGATGAGGTCTTGCTGCCCAGGCAGATCTCGAACCCTCAGGCTCAGGCAATCCGCTCATCTCAGCCTCCCAAAGGTGCGGGATTATAGGCTGAGCCACCGAGCCCAGCTTGAAGAGTTTCATTTTAAAGCTTTCTTTTAATTTATTTTTATTAATTTTTTTATAGAGAGAGGGGTGGGGGGGGTCTCGTTATGTTGCCCAGGCTGATCTCTTTTGGGCTCAAGCAATCCTCCCACCTTGGCCTCTCAAAGCATGCTGGAATTATAGGCCTGAGCCACCGCACACATTCCATTCTAGAACTTTCTTTTCTTTACATATTTTCTTTTAAAGATGTGGGGCACAATTCAGGATTAGGTATATAAGTGGACATCGTACAGGTAAAGTTTGGGGCTCCCTTTGGTCTCCACTTTGCCTGGTTTGAGATCAGGTACCCTTATTGATGTTGTGCTCCCACCCTTCTAGAACTTTCTAACAGCCAGAACTGCTGGTGGAAGGTATACCTGAAGGTGAGGTGGGAGGGTAGGACTCTTCCCTCCTGTCCCTGGAGGGGTCACATTGCTGCATGGCTCATGTGTCCTACCAGCGCCTGCCAGGACCCTCTGCTCCTGGTCCTGGCTAGGCCTTACCGTTTCTCACATAGTCTGACTCTCCATCCAATATATTCCATTGGCTGCAGCTTCTCTGCCCTACATCCTGTGTATGTATCCCCGTCTTGCCTCCCTTCATCCCTCCCAAGAACCTTCTAAAGTCAGGGCGCTGCAAGCCATTGCCCCCACTCTTCCTCCCTCCCCTCTCTCGGGAAAGTCAGAATCCGTGGAAGGAATCTGAGGAGGAAGAGGATATTGAATTCGGTGACCTTTAAAAACCAGTTTTCAGTGTCCCTCCCCCACCCAGACCTCTCTGTTCTGCAGGAAAAAAATCACCAGGTGGCATTTATTGAGTATTTACATCCCCTGGTCACTGTGTTAAGTCCTTTACATGACTTACCTTCCCTTATCTCCTCCTCTCAACATCCCCTGATTCACAGATAAGGAAACTGAGGTTCAGAACAAGAACCTGACCACCCAAGATCATCCAGCCAGAAAGAGGTCAATGGACCTGGAATCCAGATTTGACCACTGGTTTATCACTGCTCCAGCAGGGCTCCCACCACCCCCTGGGCTGGCTGGTCAGGATCAACAGCAGAATTTGAAAGAAGGGGATAACAGAAGGGCCTAGGGCATGCTGGGGAGGGGAGCAGAGTAGGAGCACCAAAGGTGGGACTGGCGTATCCAGAATGAAACTGCAGCCACATTCCCCTCCCAAGGTTTGCCCTTCTTCCCCCCAGGGCCTGGGAAGGGGACACTCCCTCTGGCTCAGGTCCCTTCAACATTCCAGACACACCTCTAGGGAGCTGGGGACAAGGAAGGGGTGGAATTGCCTCCTCCACCCTCACCTCCCCAACGGAGTCCTGGCTGTGTGATCTTGTGTTTGCCACCCACCCTCTCTGGGCCATGGTCTCCTCTGTGAAAGTTGAGGAGCAAGAGCTGGCTTAGCTTCTTTTTTTGTTTTGTTTTGTTTTTTGAGTAGGAGTCTCACTCTGTCACCCAGGCTGGAGTGCAGCGGCACACTCAACGGCCACCACAGCATCGACCGGCTGGGCTCAGGTAATCCTTTCACCTCAACCTTCCAAATAGCTGGAACCACAAGTGTGCACCGCCACGCCTAGCCAATTTTTCTATTTATTGTAGAAGTCTCGCCAAGTTGCCCAGGCCTGTCTTGAATCCCTCAGCTCAGGCAATTCTCTTGCTCCTGCCTCCCAAAGTGCTGGGATTACAGGCATGATCCATTGCACCCAACTACACTTGATGCTCCTTAACTGGCCTCAGAGAAACAGCAGAGCAAACAGAAAGATATTTGTACAATTGACTGTTGTAGGCACACATTTTATTGTTTTCTTATAAAAGGTAAGAGTACATTATTGAGTAGAGGACTAAAGGAGTGAAGACGCTTCTAAAAGTGAAGTCTCCCAGCCCCCATTCCTAAGACTGTAACATCTGCTATATATATTTAAAAACAATAACAAAAATAAAACAAAAGCAAACATGAAACTCCTGACCTGGACTTCACCCAACCCCTCATCCTACATGATAACAGAAACATATTACACAGCTCCTACTTAGGTAGAGCCCAAACTCCAAACCTGAGCTCTGGCCCCTCCTCCCAGCCCCATCCATAACCACCCCACCTCCCCAATGCCTCTAGAAGCCCCTGGCTAGAAAAAATGGCAGACACACACAGTCAGAAACACATATATCTGCACCTCCTGTGTGGAGCCCCTGAGACACACATACCCAGGCCCTTTCCTCACTCACAGATAGACACGCTGCCTTCCCTGTCGCTGGACTCCTCACAGAGCTAGGATCGCTTCCACTTGGTCCCTTACCCTGAATATCTGGGAACCCCCCCCCAAACACACACATGTGCACCCACACACACACCTGCTGCCCATTTCCCCCGTTGGGAGGCCTTATTCCCTTCTCCACCTCAGCTTAGGCAGTGGCCTAAGGACCTACTGGGGCAAGGCCCAGTGGGAATCCTGAAGGAGGCTGTCCAGTGGAGTGAGGGTACACAGAGAGCTTCTTAGCCTGGGAGGGTGATCACAGAGGGGGCTCCCAGGGAATGGCCCCAGCAGTCAGTGGATGCTCAAGGCAGGGGCTATGGGCAGATGGCCCTGTCCACTCAAATCTGTTCCTTGTGCTTCACGTGCGCCAGCTTCACATTCTCCTGCTCATTGGAGGGTGGGGGCTGCTCCAGGTGACAGCCGATCATGAGCTGGTACACCATGACACCCGCGATGGAACCCAGAAGGGGAGAGACAATGGGCACCCACCACCAGTGCCGGCCGGTCCTGGGAGGAACAGACACATGTGGTCAGGCTTGGGTGGTCAGAACTGAGGAGGCAGGTAGTGGGGAGCTCGGTGTGGCTGGTACTCACGTGAAGACTTCAGAGCCCCAGCCAGCGATGGCCGTGAAAAGGCGGGGGCCAAAGTCCCGGGCAGGGTTGACAGCATAGCCGGAGTTGAAGCCCATGGAGGTGCCAATGACCAGAACCACCAGGCCCACGGTGAAGGCTTCCAGGCCTCGGGGGACAGGGTTGTTGTAGGGATCGACAATGGCCAGCACACACACGATAAGGGCGGCTGTGCCTATGAACTGGGGGGTGGGGGGGGAAACAGAGTGAGGAGCAGTCCCTCCCTGCCCTCTGATTCCCCTTACTGTGCCCTGCCTTCCCTCTTAGACCTTGCTTCTCCATGCTTGCTCTCTTGTTTGTTTTAGTTTTTGAGTCAGAGTCTCTGTCACCCAAGTTGAAGTACAGTGGCGTGATCGGGGCTCACCACAGCCTTGATTTCCTGGCTCAGGTGATTCTGTGCCCAGCTAATTTTTTGTTTTTGTTTTTGAGTCAGGCTCACTCTGTCGCCCAGGCTGGAGTGCAGTGGCATGCTCACAGCCACCACAGCCTCGGTCCACTGGGCTCAGGCGATCCTTCCCCTCAGCCTTCCAAGTAGCTGGAACTACAGGTGCACACCACCACGCCTGGCTAATTTTTTGATTTATTGTAGAGATGAGGTCTTGCCAAGTTGCCCAGGTTGGTCTCAAACTCATGCATTCAAATAATCCTCTCGCCTTCGCCTTTCAAAGTGTTGGTATTACTAGACATGAGCCACCACACCTGGCTTTTTTTTTTTTTCGAGTTGGAGTCTCACTCTGTCGCCCAGACTGGAGTGCAATGGCTGCTCCCGGCCACCACAGCCTCAACCTGCTGGGTTCCGGTGATCCTTCCGCCTCAGCCTTCCAAGTAGCTGGAACTACAGGCGCGCGCTACCACACTCGGCTAATTTTTTGATTTATTGTAGAGATGAGGTCTTGCCAAGTTGCCCAGGCGGGTCTCAAACCTGCGGGCTCAGGCAATCCACTCACCAAGGCACAGGATTACAGGCTGAGCCACTGAGCCCAGCTTTTTTTTTTAATGAAGATGAGGTCTCACTATATTGTACAGGCTGGTCTTGAACTCCTGGGCTTAAGTGATTCTCCTACCTTGGCCTCCCACAGTGCTAGGATTATAGGCATGAGGCATCATGCCTGGCCCAATTTTGTTGTTGTTTTTGAGTTGGAGTCTCACTCTGTCACCTAGGGTGGAGTGCAGTGGCACTCACCGGCCACCCCAGCATTGACCCGCTGGACTCTGGCGATCCTTCCACCTCAGCCTTCCAAGTAGCTGGAACTACAGGTGTGCACTACCATGCCTGGCAAATTTTTTATTTATTGTAGAGAAGAGGTCTCACCAAGTTGCCTGGACTGGTCTTGAACCCACAGGCTCGCAATCCACTCACCTCAGCCTCCCAAAGTGCTGGGATTACAGGCTGAGCCACTGAACCCAGCTTAATTTGGTTTTTATAGAGACGAGGTCTCACTATGTTGCCCAGACTGGTCTCAAACTCATATGTTCAAGTAATCCTCTCACCTCGATCTCCCCAAATGCTGGGATTACAGATGTAAGCCACCATGCCCATCCTAATTGTTTTAGAGACAAGGTCTCCCTCTGTCACACAGGTTAGAGTGCAGTGATATGATCATAGCTCACTGCAGCCTTGAACACCTTGCTCAAGTGGTCCTCCTGCCTTAGTCTCCCAAGTCGCTGGGAATACAGGCATGTGTCACCACAACCAGCTAATTTTCAATTACCTGGAAGGCCAAAGCAGAAGGACTGCCTGAGCCCAGAAGGTCAAGGCTGCAATGGCCGTGAGGGTGCCACTGCACTCCAGCCTGGGCAACAGAGTGAGCCTCTGACTTAAAAAAAAAAAAGGCTGCTGGAGAACTGCGTGTTTTATAAGTACATGCCACCATGTTCTGATGAAGGTGTCCCCCCAAAATCAGAAACCCTGTTACAGTCAAAGAATCTTGTCCCCCAGGCAGCCCATGAGCACAACCAGGGCAGCTCAGTCCTCCTCCCTGTGTTCCCCTCACATGTCCCCAGACCATACCTGGTCGAAGAAGCCATTGACCATGTCCAAGTGTCCAGAGGGGTAGGTAGCAAAGATGCCAGCTGTGCCGTTGGGGCCCGAGACAAAAAGCTCATTGTTGGCAAAGTTCCAGATTGCATCTGGTGACAGATTAGACCCAGAGTGGGTGAGGGCAGAGGCCTGAGCCCAGACTTGCCTCTCAGGCTGCTCCTGCCTCCCCCCCACACCCCACCAGGGGTCGTGGATGAGTATCATTATGCTGTATGATTCTGGAGGCAGAGGGGTGGAGTGTGGTGGGGTGGAAGACCTGAGACTCTGTTGTTGCCCAACTCGTTTCTTTCCCCTCATGCCCCCCACCTTGGGCCTGTGTGTGAAGGAGTGAGTCATGAGCCCAGGGCCTGGGCAGGCCCCAACTGTCTGTCATCAAAAGGCCGGGTGCCAGAAGGTCCTGGGGGGTGGGGTAGGGTAGCGAGGAGGGCAGGGAGGGGAATGCTTACCATAATACAGCCCAAAAACGATCCCAGCACCCAAGAAGGCCCCCAGTGTCTGAGCCAGAGTGTAGATGGGCAGCTTGATCCAGGGCTCGCGTGCCAAGAAGCACATGGCGAAGGTCACAGCAGGGTTCAGGTGGGCCCCTGGGAAGAGGGGAGGGGAGACCTATTAGCTACAGTCCGCCACAGCGGGGAGGCCAGGGTCCCCCACATATCCCTCTTCTCTGACTCGGCAAGAAGGGTGCAGAAAGGGTTTCTTGTACAGGATGGAGGTTGAACTGTGTAACAGGCCAGCTTTGAACATCTCTGTCTTCAAGGAGAGAGTCGAAGGTTCTAAGTGTCAAGTTCCTTCTCCACCCTTCTATCCCAGGGGCCCAGAGCTGAGGCCACAGTTATGACCTTCCTTTGGGATTGCCAGTGGGACACAGGGAGGGAATGCTAGTGCAATGCTGTCAAGGAGCAAGGACCGAGAGTGGAGTTAATGCCTTACCAGAGACCTGGCCAGCGACAAGGATACCCAGGGTGACAGCAAAGCCAAAGGCCAGGTTGATGGTGAGGAAACCACCGTGCGTGCCCCGGCTGAGCACAACTTGGGCCACGGAGCCACAGCCAAACATCTGTGTCAGAATACAGAACAAGACAGGGAGGGTGAGGACCCGCAACTCTGACTCCAGAAGCCAGAAACCTCTACCTACCACCATTGGGAGGACTGGAGGTCCTTCTTGGGATCCAACCCCAACCCCTTTTACTGCAATTGCAATCCCCAGAAAAGGGAGCCATGCCCTCCCACCCCCGTGTCTCAACTCTAACATAAGAGGACCCTATGGAAGGGATGGACAGGGCCTGAGTCAGGGAGCCCAGAAGATGGTTGAACCACCTTCACTGATTTTCCTTGAATCCCAGCAGAAGTAGGAGCAGGGGGACAGCTTTCACCTCAGCACAGTTTCTCCCCAGCCCTTCAGGTCTGGCCTCTAGAAGCAGGATGCCTCTCTGTCATCAACCAACTGCCTCAGACAAAAGATCAGACAAAAGGCGATGGTGGTGGAGGGCACAGTAAAAAGGGAGGAGGCCAGAAGTGAGGCTGAGTCCACTTCTGAATCCAGGATGTCAGAGCCCTGGGTCTCTCCACAGCCCCTTCAGCATCCTCACCCTCCTTGACCTGTCCCTGTCTTAGTGCCTCTTCTCTCTATCTGCCCTGACGTCTCTGCTCTCAGAGGTCCAGGTTCCCTGCTCAGAGTTGGAAGTCCTCAAGTCAGGGATCTGAGTGGCCCCTCTCACCCTCCCCAGGCCAGGACCCAGGGCAATAGAAGTGGGAAGACGGGTTCTGAACTTTCTGCCGGGGATAGGGGGACTAAAGGGAACTAATGCCCTGGGTGTTCTGCAAGCTAGGACGTACTGTATCTCCATTCTCTTTGTTCAAATGTGGAAATACTTCAGCAGCAGCTGGAAAGAGTTGTCTCCCTGAGCCCCCTGCGTGTCCCCCAAAGTGCTCCAGCCTTGTCCCTGCGTCTCCTCTGCCACCTGCTCATACCTAAAGGCTTTATGCCCACACAGCAGGCTGAGGGCCTGGTTCATTCTGATGGGTCCATGCCTGTTGTCCTGAGTTGTTAAGTACTTGGATTATCATCCCTCAGAAAGTCCAAGAGATAGCTAACCCGCAGTGGTGATGCAAGGCAAAGGTGTGCAGGCAGGTGAGAGCAAAGATCAGAGATTGTGAGTGTATGTGTCAAGCGGGGTGGTGGGAGACAGGCACTTGAGGGCCTGGGGCACCCTGCCTGGCTTGGCAGGCCCCAGCCTCAGCTCCTGCCTGCCTGAGGCCCAGGTCTGGCACCATCCCAGGAGGCCTTGGAGGGAGGAGCTGTCAGAGCCAGTTCTACCACCTTGGGGCTAATCTTCCTCTTCCTTCCCCAGCCCCCAGCCCTGTGTTCTTGGCCAGGACAACCAACCACCCCCTCAACTCTTCTAGGTACCCCAGAGAAAGGGGCTTTCCTCACTCATGGCCAACTGCGATTCTGCTGCTGTAGGTCTAGACCCCCAACACACAGAGGCATGCAATCAGGCCCTCACCCACCTCGCAGGGTCTGCCCCCCACCCCAAATGGGCAATCCTCGAGGTTCTGCTTTTCATGGATACCCAATACCTCACATCCACCTGGGCCTGGAAGCCTTCTCCACAAACATGAATAACACCCTCCTTTTGTGGTTTGGGATAAGCCAAATGATCCGGGGCACATTTGAGGCAAACGGAGACTTAGGAGGGAAGCAGGAGGCCCTTCTTGAAAAGGGAAGACACCCTCCCCTGGCCTAGCCGCTCTAAAACAGGTGGCTGGACCTACGAATCAGATAGGGAGCAGGGGCTCCAAGGAAGGCAAGTGATAACTGCTGCCTCCCACCTCCTTCTTGGTGGGGGGGTGGGGGGTGGGGACGGCTGCTAGCGCCACTGGTCTTATGAGGGACTGGATAAAAGGCCCCACGTGGCTTCCCCTCTTCCTATTCTTGGAAGCCAGAAGCGAGTCTTAGCCTTCCTTCTCCCATAGAGCTTGCTCCTTCACCACTACCCATTTGGACTGGGCTTTCCCCAGTCCTACTTGCCACCATTTAAGCTTCCTAGTCCGCAGGGGCCAGCTGGTCTGTACTACTAGGGCTGAGGCTGGGACAGGAAAGGAGTCACCCACCACTGCAATGCAGCAACTGAACCCAGAAGTAACCCAGAGGAAAACAGGTGTAACCACATGAGTGGTTGAAAATCAGAGAGTAACTGCGGCAGGAAGTGGAGACCGTAAACTGGTGTGTCTACCAGTCCCAAGCAATATAAACAGAGTCACCTAGGAAAAATCCAGGGCGAAACTGGTGTGACCAAGGAGTAACTGGGACTGAGGAGTAACCCAGGCAGGGGACCCATAGAGTGAGAGGAAAGGGAGTTGCTCAGGGTGCTAGCAATCTCCTGCACGGATGCTAACAGCATCTGCCTGGGTAGCTGACAGGGTCTGGGAGTTGCTCAGCCTGAGAAGAGTGTCTTTAGATACATGGCCCAGCTTCCTCTACAATCTCCTGTCTTCAGAAGTGTCCTTTCTTCCCGCTTTGCTGTTTGCTGCCGGTGTGGCCTCCGCCCTCTGCCCCCACCCGTGCCCAACTGTCCTCACTTCACTGCAACTTTTGGACTTTCTCAGGCTTAATTATTCATTAGGGGCCAGGCCCAGGACCCAAATAATCTAATGGGGCCCATTTGCCTCTATGCCTTCCAGGGCAAGCAAGCTGGGGGGCCGTGGGAGGCAGGAGAAAGGGCTGGTGGTCGCAACTGCAAGGTCGTCTCTGCGCCCAACCTGTGGGCTGGGTCACCCGTGGGAGAGTAAAGGATCAGAGCTGTCACCGGAGAGTAACAGCTGTCAGTTGGGCAAAAATCAGAGTTGTCAGAGATGGGGTTAGAACTAGGGGGAAGAGGGCTTTTAGGGGTCAGCTTGAGCCTCCAGGATTAAGTGTGGGGGGTCAGAGCTGAGCGAGGGTCGCGGCTGAGGGCTGTCTTGAGAATCACAACCCCTCCGGTGAACGAGGCCTTGGGGAGTGTGGGGGCTGGAGAGGCAAGGGCTCCCCCACTCACCACGAGGATGAGGGTCCCCAGGCACTCAGCCAGCGCCTGGCGGAGCAGTCGGTAGCGAATGTGGAGCATCTCCCCGCAGCGGGACACCAGCTCCTTCTGTCGACCCATGGCGGGGGCAGGCGGCGGCGCTGTCGGGCTGGCAGGGGCGGCCGAGCGCGGCGGGAGGTCAGCGGGGCGGCGAGC